ATCTCTCTCTGTGCCTCCAACACCTGCAGGGGGGCAGTGGTTCACCTTTCTGCAATAATCTCGTCGGTACCAGAGAAGAAGATGACAGTGGGACCAGCTCACCAAAGGTAGCTTCGCTCTTACAGAACATGTCGTGTCATGCATAGCACGAATTATGTGCAAAACATTTTAGGCTAAAATCCATCCAAAAACTTGACATTGTAATTAGTGCTGACTTTATTGATATGAAATCAATTAAAATTAATGTGTAACTTGGCAGCACCAGCTGTCACTAGTCAAAGGCATCCTCCTTAGTTTTGGACAGAGCCATGGTGTTGTGACCTGTGGTTGTCACGCGTCCACAGATGGATAGGTCGGACATAGAGGATGGCCTGGAGGAAGGGGACCTCAACGCCGAAGGGGAAAATGAAAGAGACCAGGAAGAGTTCACTATGAACCCCAACCAGCTGGACTTCTACCAAGCCAACCCCTTCGCCCGCTGCCAGTGTGACCGTATGTAACAAATTCAGAGGCTGAGCTACTATTGCTGTCGTGGATTTCAGACTTTGGCACTCTTTTTTCTCTAATTTACTTTGACAGAGGTGACACGCATTGCTGGATTGGAGTGGGTATCCGTTCACTTTGCATTGCAGTACTGAAAAGTTGCATTTCTGGAACATCAACCTGGCCCCCAGACAGTTAAATCTGAATTATTCAAATGCTGTGCCAATGCATCTTTCCAAGCAAATCACTCAAGAGTGTGACTTTGTTTGCTTGGGTAGTTTGGCATCAATTTGAAGAAGTGGTTGATCATTGCAATGCCTAATCTTCCTGTTAGAATATGAACATACTTAAGCGCTACAGCTACACTCAAAAGTGATGTAATTGAATTGTTTGAGGGTTAAGTGATTTGGCCTTAAGGTGGTAATTGGAACTGGACATGAACCATGGCAGCCAGAGGACTGGGAATCAGAATTGTTAAAATCCAGCCTCTGGGTTGGTGGAGACTACAGCTTTTTTCTGTCAGAGGGGACAACTTAATTCATACACAAGTAGAACTTTTCCCACTAGGACATCGGGCAGCTCTGATCCTTGGGCTGTGTATGTGGTTCAAACTCTGGAGTAGGAGAGGACTAGAGTAGGGGCTCAGAAAGTAAACCAACCCAAGCTGGGCATCAAAACTCCTTCAACTCTAGGGACCAGAGGGAGCTAGGCTGTGACATTGTGGGATAAATGATAATTGTTTTCTTTGGCAAACTAATCATATATGCTTTTGTTACCTATACTTTATGTTGCAATGGTATTAATAAAGTACAGTGATTTTATTTCTTTTACACATGATTTATAGATGACCTCTTCAATGAAGACCTATTCCTTAAAACAGACTCATCTGGTGAGTTGTAATAGACCACTAATCTAAACAGTACTTGACATAAAGAGGCTCTTGCTCATTATGTTGTTTTGTTACTCAATTTCAATACTGTTCTTAGCAAAAGTATAAACTCTTTAAATGTTCTGATTTTCAGATGGCTTTGGTTCTGACCCTTTCAAAGGCAGTGACCCCTTCGCAGCAGATATTTTGTTTCCATTGACGAATACTGGCGAGAGCACAGGAAATGCCGGTGACGAAGCAGACACCAGTCTGTCTTGTGTTGAAAACAAAGCTTCAACGGGAACTCAGTGCTTTGAGTCAGAATTCCCAGATGAAGACAGTGACATAGAGATTAGCTACAGTCGAGAGGACCTGGACACCAT